CAAGTTGTTCAAACAGTTTATTTTAGTGATCGAAACTGACTGCATTTAGTCTTCTGTACCTTGAATATCAGAAAGTTCTATAAGAATATCCTCCACGAAAGCATCGCTGTTAAAGCATAATAGTGTCCGCGAGCATCATTATAATAGATTAATCAATGAAATCAGTCTTTAATATTCACAGAATCTTTCATCAGTTAAACTATCCACCCCCGAACGAAAATGTTTATTTGAGCTTGAGCAAGAAATTTATGTGGTCATTTAATTTAAATATGCCAATAGACACTTTTTTTTTTTCAGATAATAGACACTTTTCCTTTCTCAGACACATTTTCCCCTAACAGTCTCATGTTATCTCGACAATAAAAGCATAATTTTAAAATTAACAAAATTTAATGATATTTCATATTTTATATTTACTTTTATTGCGTCTCATCAATTAACTCAAGAAACTTCTATGTGTTAAAGTTCGCGACTATCACACGTGTTTGTGATTCATTTTTATTCACAGCAACGAGTATTTCTGAAAGTTTTTTTTTTTACCAAGAAGCATATCGTTTAAATATATTCGTTTAATCCTAGATCCGGTGCACACGGGATTTGGCAACTTTTGGCGACTTTTATGATGAGCAGTAAAAACGGGACATACACGATGAGTAGTAAACGGGTATTCAAAGAATATATATAGTTATACATAGTATATACTGTGTATATAGTGATAGTATATAGTGTATAGTATACTATCACTATATATACATAGACGTTCTTTTGGTAATTTTTGGTGTTGGCGATAATTTTCAAAATCGCGCGAAGGCTGCACCGTATACTAGGATTTTACCATATATTTTTATACCGATCCCGTTAGAGTCAACGGAACAAAACTAAATTTTTAAAAGATATTTGTTACGTCATAATCAATTAAAAGGGGTATCAGAAACCCCTATACTGACAATGTTAAATTGGCCATTTTCCATGTACCTTTTCTCAAAATCTGCTGTAGATACAAGCTTGAAACTTTTTCTGTAATTAAAGTATACCTATCTCATTATACTGAAATGACCTTTTGAAGCATTTAGAATTTTCAAATAATTTAACGTAGCCATTATGATCTTCTTTAAAATAAGATTACGGTAAAGTGATCTTCTTAATATTTCCCAGCATGCATTTTGAAAAATAAAACCTGAAGTTGCTTAAAGTTCTATGTACAGAACTTTGCTTAAGTTCAACTGTTAATTTCATCGCTCGCATGATGTATCTTTCTATCGTTGTGCCTTTGATATCCAACTCTTCCATAGCAGATGTAGGAAAGTAATTTTATGAATCGATCTTAATATCTTATAATGAGTGTCAGCAGCGCACATCTCATTACCTGCTTTCGTAAACTAATCTTGAGTTTAAGAATTTTGCAGCCGATATAGCAGAATGTTTCCAAAAATGCGTACATGCTCCCTCGAGATGGTAATTTTTTTCACTAAAATTTCTTGCATTTTTCTCTGAAGCTATTATAAATAAGCTACGTTGGCAGGACTGTTATTTGTAGGATGAGTTAAACTTGAAGGACACTAATATATATAGTGATTGATGCCATGCTTTCACATCATTACTTTATGTTACTGAATTGCATTGTGAGAAAACACAAGGGGTTATCTGCGTAAGAGGTAGCATTGCCTTTATGGAGCACATTTAAACGAAAATTAGCTCGCATTCACAATACTCATCAGAAAAACCAAAACAAATCTCAGACAGCCTTAATTCGAACACGCCTTAATTCGAACACGGGTCTATCTACCAAAGTTTATAATTTCAAAGTAGAAGCTGATAGAAAATTTAGCTTGATACCTTATATGTGAAAAGAGTATACATGATATAATTATTGCTAATACTTGTTTCTTTTTACAAGTCAACTTTATACCTTCTCTTTAAAAAAACAGAAGAAACGAAATCGGGCATAATTTCCGATGAATGAATCTCTATTGCAGACGAATGCTCATCAATTGGCAAGTCAAATCGGTACTGAAGTCTTTAAATGTTGTGATGGATCGCGTTTTCGATTCAAGACACAATATTTTTTATTAAACTGTATGTGACCAAAGCTCTGATGTAAACGAAAACGTATGTACTAATTTTTGTGGGAAACTGTCAGGGCCCTAATTTTTTATAACTTCTTGCCAAACAAGGCATTACATTTTAATAGGGATGCATTCGTCTGAGCCGAAAGAAAAACAAAGGATTACAGCTTTAGTTTGTGCTAATATGAATGAGAACTAAAAGCTTAAATCATTAATGATTGGAAAGTCCACTATGTATTAATGGAATTCGAATATTGCCAGTTGATTATATCTAATAAAAAAGCATGGCTGACTCGAGACATCTTCAATAACAGGTTAAAATGAATAGATAAGCAGTTTTCGAGGGAAAAGAGTAAAATTCTCTTATTTATGATAACATAACCTGCATCCCTGAGTTCTACATCCCTGAGTACTACATTGTATGAGTTCCATGCAGGTTGAATATTTGCCGCCAAATGCAGCTGCGAAGCTGCAACCAATGGATCAAGGAATCATCCAGAATTTTAAACAAATTATCATAACAGGAGCTTACAACAAATCATTTCTACTTTATACAGGGGTAAAAATACGACATTACTCCAGCTATAAATGATCTATACGCCGAACGAAATGCTGTTAAAGGAAGCACAGTTAGTAATTGCTTTTTTGATGCTAAATTTATGGACACCGAAGTGAACCACGTGACGATATTGATACAGCTTTTTTCCTGAATTCAAAAAATTTAAATTTAATAATTTCACTTTTCTGATTATGTAAGGGTAGATGAAGATTTGGAACTGGAAAACCGAAATAAAAACTATCCGAGAAAATGAAAAAGAAGAGAGCTTTTCGGATTCAGAAGAGAAAGCAGATACTAGTAAGAGCCCTAACAGTCAAGTCAAATGGCCTCTATAAAAATTCTGAAATCATTTATTCAGACTGAACCTTCGTCTGAAAATGAATTGAGATGTTTACTTCAAATCGAGAAGCTGGCTGAAAAATATAGGCACAATAAACATGTAGAGCTATTAGGTATTTTGGAAGCAGGAATGATGAAAAATGAGCAACGACCTCTCCGGGAATCGAAACACGGACCTCTGGAATACGCGCCCAGCGTGCAGACCACCACATCATGAAGGCATGCTAAAAAGGCGGGAAAATACCTTATAAGCAAAACCAAGGACCCATTCTACAATTTTTTCCAAAAGTATAATTTGTATTTTTAATAAAATTAACTTTCTGCTGCATATCTTCTGCTTCATTTTAGGGTTAAGATAAGTCTTTACTGCTTTTTAATATGTTTAATTTTAGACAGTTAGTATTATATATTTTCTGAGGTTATACATACTAGGATATTTTTCAGCTCCAGTAAATACATTTTATATATTTTCTTAACATCGGATAATTCGAACTCATTTCTGAGGATCTTTGAGTTCGAATTAACGAGCGTCAACCGTATATAGGATTATTATATTTATTATAAATTACCTTATCAAATAATTTACTTATAAATCATCTGGAATGGTGTAACCCTTTTTGCGAAGTTGAATTTCATTATTTCACCGCATACATGAATAATTGTTTTACTGTTGTAAAATGAAGAGCAAATGTTTGTTTAATAAAATATGTATATATTGAAACATGTATCTCTACAAATTTGCCGTCAACTACAAATCGCGTTATTACGTAGTCTGTGAACCAAAAATAATATTAATTTCTATAAAAATAGTCGGATGACAGTACAGAAATGTAAGTACACTTTTGCAGAAATGTTAGAAAAGCATGAGCAGCATTGTAAAAATTTTTTTCATAGTTTAGATCTTACGTGCAGTGTAAAAGAAAACCTTTTTTCTTTTTCACATTTAATTAGCTTCAAAATCAAATAATCTATAACAAGTACATAATACGGCATTGATAACATATTTTATTAATTAAAATAATTATCCATATTTTCATAAAAATCATTATTTGAACATAATAACTATTCAGCCTGAATTGTCTTAACCAATCAGGCCAAAATAAATGCAATATAAATTAAACATATATTTAAAGTTACATCAGCTGAATGGATTATCAAAGTAAAATGGAACTTAAGTTGAAATTAAATGCCGGAATTCATCAACGATTTAAGTTTTGATGGTCACCAGAATGAGGACGGTGCGGTAAATATAGACATATTTACTCGAAGGACACCGATGATTTAAGCTTGAAAGTTAAGAGTGAGAAGCAATGGAATGTTTCAACGATGACAGTTTTTCCCAGCATGTATAATAACGTAACTTATTTAAGGGGACTCATGCACCTTAAAACCCATAAGATCTTTGAATATGTGACTGCTGCCAGAATTGAGATAACTCATTTATTTTAAAAGCAATTATTTCCAACCTTTTACAGCTGACTACATAATATAACTGCTTTCTGAAATAGGAATCAGAAAGTTTGTGTTGCCAGAGATATTTTTATAATTTAATCCGCTTTGTGACAAAATTTTTCGTCATGTTTCCACCTTCACGCACAGTTTAAAACATTATTTTGCACAATTTAATTACATATTTAATATATAGCTTTTAAACATTTGGAAACGGACTGTGAACCTAAAATTCTAAAAATATTATGTTAAATTTTTATTTATTTGGAGTTGAGTTTATAAAATGCATTTTATTAAAAAAATCTGTAATGTTTTCGTCCATAAAAGTTTTTAATATTAAAATATTCATCAGATTTTTGGTTCAGTTAGAAAATAGTGCCCATATAAAGAATTCCATCAAATTTCAAGTATGTATCATTATCCATTGTTAAAATATCATGCGCGCAAGGTGGATACATGGCGAAATATTTTGTCACAAAGCGGATTAAATTACAAAAAATATTTGTGGCAACACAAGCTTTCTGGTTATTAGTTTCCAAAGCAGCTATGTTATGTAGTCAGCTGTAAAATGTTGGAAGTAAATTGCTTTTAAAATAAATAAAATATTCCAATTCTTGCAACAGTCCCATATTCGAAGATCATGAGGGGTTTAAGGTGTATGAGCCCGCTTAACGGAATCAAAAATTTGAAAAGATTTCGCTAAGAATGTTTCTAACGAGAGAATCATCGATGACTGTGATCCAAAATACTCCGGGGAATTTAAAGAATTAAATGGCCTCCTCAGCAAATGAGTCATTATAACATTCAAAATGCTTTTAAACAGCATCAGAGTACAACGCTGTTTATATTTTCAGTTTTTATTATTATTTAGGATTTATACTTAAAAAAATTAAAACAGTTTCTTATTTAAGTGATAGCATGGGTCCCTAATAGTCCTTTAAATGAACAGATGGCGAACACTGACGCAGCAATTATTAACGAAGTTCCACATTTCAAAATATGCATTCAATTTTTGATAAACTAAATGGTTTTAGAAATAATGCAAGACCATGAGTTTCCAATAATGTACTGAAAAATGCTTCCAATAGTGTGGGCAAAAGTATGTGCCTAACTCACTTTGTGCCATGTAATACAAATGCAGTTTCTTGTGATATTTTTGTCATTAGAAGGCTCATGTAGTCGAGTAACATGTAGTAAAAACAATTAACATTGGTAATTCGATGTAACTCATAAAACCCTGGTGAACGGGCTAACAGCACGGTATTTGCATAGCTCACCCAGTGCACAATGTAACTATGAAAGAGATTTTCATTAGAGAGTTATTACCGAGACATTCTTTCAGTTGGGCAGATTCCCTTAACTTTGCCCCAATCCAAATAATCCAATAGTTTTTGTTAGATAGTCTGTCGCGGTGGCTTTTCAAAATTATTGCAGTATTGCATTATGATACGATAGAATGCATTTATCATCCATGAAATTATCAATTGTTATCATTGCGATCTTTTACGGAGCTTCGCAACTAACTGGTTTCCACATTATTATTATTCGATCTAATATAAGGTCAGTAATTTATATATCAAGGTCTAACTAAATAGCTTAATAGAATTATTAAACTAATTCCTTATTAATAATTTGATTGTTTATTTTTTCCAATGTACAAATTTTTCCAATGTCCAATATATATTCCAAATTTGAATAAGTTTTAAAATGGAATTCATTTATAAAATATCTAAAAGATATTTTTGTGAAAATATTAGCTGCATTATTCCAATTAAGTGGGGAATTTCCTAACGTCATATATTGCATGCATTGGTTCGTAGTAGTAACAAGTTTTTAGAGAGATTGAAGAAACTTGGGAAAAAAAGTCTTCAAACTTTTCTAAAGTTTCTCTCATTCTGTTTGAAGTTTAGCAGTGTAAAGGCAGTAACGCGAGCGCACCAAATTAGCCCATTTTGTTTTTCTATATCTAGGTTTAATGAAGATCCTCATATTTAAGCATAAGTAATTATTTTGTCCTTTTCCTTCTATGCTTAGTAGAGATCGAATGATGGCTTCTTCAGAAATGACTGTCGAACGAAGGACTACACAGTATCCTTTGTCACTATGCCAAAACACTTAGATCCCCTAATTAGTAGAATTGGGTAAAAAAGGTAACATTTAAATGGATTCAAGAATTGCTTCAGTTAGCTGATTTCAGCGAAATGTGAAGTGATACATTCTCGTTGCGAAGTTTTATGTAACTATGAATGAATAATTTGCATTTCTCTTTTTAAGGTATAAATAATAATCAGCGAAATGCGTTCCTTAAAAGAGTTCAATCTCAAACACTACGTTGTTTATTGCTAAGTAGAAACTGCTAAGTGGATAAAAACCCTGACAGATCGAGCAGGTTTTACGTTTTATTAAATGTATGGCTGTGTGGACATCTGCATGGTTTCCCAGATGTAAAATGCCAATATGAGCCAGTTTCCTTTAGAATGTCCTCCCTCCAAAAAGGCATTTGTTGCCTTGGAAAGACAGCTCTAGTGTGCTTTGCCATATTCCAATAAATCCACATCGAAAATTCTTATTTGATAAGTACTCGGTCGGGACAGCGCATGCTATTTATGAAAAAAGAGAAGCAATTTCTATGAAGAAATTAAAATGTAAAACAAGAAAAGTTTTGATAACTTATTTAATACAAAATTGACTTAAAAACTTGTTTTGAATTATTTAAGTGTCATTAATATCTTATAATTCAACATATATTGATATCATGGCTATATTTTGTCATGCTGTCTCCGATACAAAAACCAATACATCAGTTTACAAACTACAGCAAATTTTCAAGCCGTCCTTTGCAAATTAATGGGCAAATAGACAAAATCTTCTAGAGCTTTCGCTCGTCGTTCGTTTTCTGATATGGTTGAATTACTCATATTAGCTGTCGTTTCAGTGGATGAAGGTGGCTTTGTGGCGACGTTAGGACGATGCCAGATGAAAGGGCTGTGTCGAATCCTTTTTGCTGTCGGTCTTGTTGAAGTGGTTTGAAATGATTCCGTGGTAGAATCTTGACTTTCTGGTGGCAGTAGAAGACGTCTAGAGTCTCTATATACTACGTTACCTCTCGATGTTGGGCTGGTGACACGTGCCCATTTCGATGCAGTTGTTGGAAACGTTCGAATATTTTCAGCTGAAACATAGAAATATCATTTAAAAAATCTGAAAATTATTAACAGGAGAAAATAGGGGTGGTAATATGTAGCACGTATATCAAACAGAACTCCTATGATAGTAAAGAAAGAAAAGTTATGTAAAAAATATTGCTATTTGGACTAAACTTCCATATGTGAATTCAAGATATTGAAAAGCCTATCAAATTGAAGACAAGATTTTAGTCTTGTCTAATCATACGCTTCCACAGTCAGTGTACTGAGACATATAATTACTGTTTGATGGAAGTTTTGGCAATAAGACACATTCCACCAGAAAATTCCTTTCATTTATAAAAGGATAAACTGTTAACTCTGTAAATCATATTGGTTTGTAAGCCAGATGGTATTAAATCACTCAAAAAATTTTCTAAAGCAAATGCTGAGAGTTCCGATACATGTTGCTAAAAGGTTCCGTGACGGAACACAATATCTTTAAATGGAAAGCGTCGTATCAAAGACAAAGAGAGCAATTTATTGATTGGTTTCCTCCAGTAGATTGGTGGAATAAATGCTTTTGAAGGGCGTACGGTCTTCCGCTATGATAAGTGTCTCAGTACCATAGATGTGTTAGTGCCTTATGTGTAATAAGTAATCCAGAGTAAAAGCTTCCAAAATTTAAAACCAATATTCGATGATATCTTTCGAATACTAAACAGTTCCAGTTTTCTGAACTATGTGGCATATATACTACGATGGGAATGTGACATGAAAACCGGAACAGAACCAGTTTTGTAAATATTTGCATATGAAAGAAGCAGCTCAGGGATTAGCGCGGATCCTACAGATCAACAGTTTAAGAGCTCGAATCTCTATGAGAACCTTGTTCGTGTCTCCTTCCTGCTACAACATTTCCACGATTTTACCTTTTTAACCAGCTGATGAATTGCAGTTCTTTGCTTATATATATGCATGAGCATACATATATATATATATATATATTTAATTTTCCCCCTGCTTAATGCTCCCCTATCAGAGGAAACCAGGGAAGATACATTTATGTGAATAGCCTAAACGGCTTTATTTGTTCGAGTTGGACACATTGCTTTTGCGATACTCTTGGCCATATCAAACAGACCAGACTAACTTTGGATTGCAACTAGGAGGCACTTTCCTTAGGAAAGCATAAAATAGCTTAATATATATTTATGTTTCAAGTTGAATCTGAAAAGGTAGCTATATTATATAAGAGTGTTGTCACTCGGCAAAACACAAAATATTTTTCTTTATAATATAATCAATAAACTCAGCGATCTAAAAGGAATATGTTGACGCTACCCAAATTTAAATATTTTAATCTTCCATTTAACAGTTTAATTTTTTTTCAAATTTATTCTTTTATTAATTAACACTCTAACCGATTTAAAATTAATAAACGCAAATTCAGTATAGTTATTTTAATTACTGGACCTTGAAAGCTGGGCTCGTGAAATTGCGTTAGCTGAATTCATCTAAATCATTATACATATTTTACTTTTTCGTAATGACAATTTTAAGATTCTGACCGCGTAAGCAGCTCGTATAAGCTCAAGAAAGGTATTATCAAGCATGTATTTGAACGTTCCAAGTGTTGTACAGACTCAAAAGTATTGTATATTGAAAACAATGACGTAAGAGTATTGTTTTCTTCAATCTTCGTTTTTAAACGAAATTTGTCCTAAAACTTTGTAGATGTTTTGTGCATAGGAGGTTATAGGATTTATTTCCTGAACTCTTGATCCTAGACTTGGTATACAAATACAAAGTTTATTTAAATAAAATAACAAATTTCATGGGAACGTTTTCGGAATGAGAAACAGAGCGATTTTGAAAATATCAAATTTAAATTTTCGTGTGCTGCTAATAAGCAGGCGTAAAGCACATATAGAAAAATGTCCAATTTTCTTTAATAAAAATCAAGTTATTGTCTACGTAGAAAGTCATTGAGGAATGAATAACTAATACTTTTAGGAAATGAATTACAAAGCCATTATCCAGGCATTTTCACACAGTGCGTTTTCATTCGTCTCCGTTTACTGAATAGCTATTCTTTGAGGATAATGGGAAATTTAGAGAAGAATATTTGAATTTGTTTTGTAAATACGCACTGAAACTGACCTAGATTACCAAATTCCATTTAAAATATTTTCCTAGGCTTAAAATAAAGGTTATGTATGGAACTCTTTAGATTTGTCTTACTATAGAGTTTTAATCATTTTTGCGATTGCTTGTTTTTGTTTAGTCCAAATTGAAAAAAAAAAAAAAATGCAAAGTTCCACACCTAAAGGATTGTACACCTATCCATTATATGATGTCAATATCATTGGCGGGCAAATGCGACGGTCCAGGAATTTCACCTCTGGCGTTGCAATACGAATATCCCCTCTGTCCCTCTTAATCATTACCTCGTATTCCAAAAACTAATAAAGAACCGAGCTCCTATTCCATAATGGGCTGGCTGCATGGGTGGTTTCGTGGTTTTCCCCATGTGTAACGTGTATACGAGCCAGTTTTCTTAGAAAGTCCTCCACAAAGGCATCCCTCGCCTTAGGCAGATAGCCCTAGTGTGCTTTGCCATAATTAAATAGTTAAATACCTCACCTATTCCATTATTCCGTGCACAATTATTCAGGCATCACGCTTGCTTTGAGTACTTCAAGCCTGTTTTGAGCACTTCAAGCCTGCTTCACGCCTGCTTGGAGAAATATTTTTAAAGTAGACTTTCCGGTAACCCAAAACAACCGGTGAAGATCATCAAAGAAAACCGTCTTTCAGAAAGGCAGTAACCACATGTAAGAGGACCACTCGTCTGGAACTGAGATCCAACTGCGAGCTTTTTAACCATAACAACTTTCCGCTATTGGAGCTGGAATTGCTGCTACTGCTATATTTTTGTAACTCGTCTTTTGTTCTACAAAGGGTCTTATGAGTTAAATTTTGAACTTTCGAAACCATTTTTACCACTCTTACTAAAGTATTTTAAAACATTTTTCTACCTCATTTAGAGATCTGCTTATTTGAAAGTACATGCCTGAGAACAACAGTTCAAGAAATAAAGTCTTTTACCTGCTTTCGTAAATACATATCATGTGGATAGACATTTTCTCAGGAAAATGAAATGACTTTTGAAGCAAAAAAAAAAAAAACTTTAAACATTTAGTGTATGCTTGACGTAGTTGTACTAGGGAATTTTCGAACAACCGATGGAAGTGGATGAAATATTTCATTTGCTTACGTTTTCCTTCCCTCAAGCATACTTAAATCAGATTTGCAGTAATAAGACTATTCTCTGTCGACTCACCTAATCGAGCGAGTCTCAGTACAGTACTTTCTTCTGTAACTAATACAATTCACATAATACCAGTTTTGCATCCAAATGTGCAAAACTTGTGTTAATATCTATGCAATAAATTATAGAAATTACCTCAAGTTTAATTTTACGTTTATGATTACGTACTCTTTTCTTTTTACCTATCTATTTTTTTAAAATATGATGTTATTTTTGATTTGAAAAAATAAAAAGATAATTCATTCACCTCAATTTATCTATTTTCACCACTGCTTGCAAGACCAAAATTACCTGCTTCAGTTTCGAAAGGGAGGTTATTTAACCTTCACTGAAACCTTCAGATGGCTGCATAACAGTTGTAAGATAATCTCAGCTGTTACATATATAATTACGTCCTATATCTACTTTTCAAAAAATGCTTTTTCATTAATGTAAACATTTGCGTTCATTTTCAGCATATTTTAATTTGGACATGTCTTTGCAACTTAACAGTCTTTTATGTGTTTATTTGATGTATTTTTATGTAATAATTTTATAGCACATTTTTGTTTAATCAAGTACTATTCTTTATGATGCTCGTATGTGTTTTCTTTGTACGTGCATATTTTATTCTAGATCTTGTAACGATCTTGAAACGATCGATTAGAGCCTGAGATATGTCTCAAAATCTTCCTTGGCGACATTTGGGGATTTCTTGTTAACTTGGCTACATTCTGGAAGTTTCCGGCGAAATTTCTCGAAGTTTCCAGAAATATACGGCAAACCTATAGATATGGCCACAATTCAGTAATTAGTTCGATTAGCTGAATAGGTTGTTTCAAAGTCTTGCAATTGTAAGCTTCTGCTTGTCAATTACTATCTTGGACTTTACTCTAGATGTTGATAATACGTGATATTTTTTGTATTTTAAGAAGAATTTTCCTCGTGCTGTTCTTCTTGACTTGTTGTATGAGCTGTGATTAAATTTTATATAATGTGAACTTTCGTCGAGTCATCTAGTGTTTTTACTGTGGAGATTTCTACGAACGCGTAATAGTCATTATTATGGAAGGTATTAAAAAACGTGGGTACAGACTTCTAATCCTGAATATTCCTTTTAGACATGTGCTTGGATTTACGAAGTTTCACAAAGTAATGAAAAGAATACTACGAGAACACTTTGAGTAGTAGTATGTCATATTACTAAAATATTGGCAATGCTAAAGCGAAAGGTTAAGTAACTTGAGGAATAAAATTTACAGAGTATTGGAAATTAATATTTTAGGGGCAGATTGCTGTTTTACCCAGTATGGAATCTGGTATTCCCAAAGCGAGAAACTTTTATTTCTTAAATGCTCACTAAATTTTAGGGACACTTTAGGGAATATGGAAAGGAATATTTATTTTTGAGGTCAAAATATGCTCTAAAATGTGATCAACTTCGGATTATTTGTCCCTAACATCTTGGTGAATTTTACATGCAAAGGTAAACGATGCTTTTGCTTTAATTTCTTAAATACGTATAATTTATTACTCTATGAAATCCGCATAAAATATTAGATTTAATATTTATGAAACCTTCCCAACCACGATTCTAAAATTGAATTCATAAAATTCTGTACTTTTATCTTTTAAAAGAGTTTCAATTGAAATCATATATCTAGAATCAATATTGAAAGAAATCAGGCCTATAGGACCTTAAACGAAAACGCTCTATCTGTATGCAAAAGAGCAGGGTATTAAAAAATAGTAAGATTGTGGTTACGGTAATGAATTTATACATTCTTAAATATGCATTCTAGAAAAGGATATTTTTACACTAAGTATAGATTTTCATAAAAGTCATATGGATATAGTTGACAGATAAAAATCCTTAAGTTAGAAAGCATGTGTATATTATTTGCTGCTGTTATGTTAAAAACACCAAATAGTGAACTCCTTCTTCACTCTCTAATTAATTCAAATGAAAACATTTTATCTATTTACATATTCTTCGAAATTAATTACATGTAATGTAATTGAATTTTACTGAAAATAAAATCATTCATTATTGAAGGCTCTTAGCCTAGATTACAGCCAGCATGTAAACAGTAACGTTTCAAAATATGAGATTGGCTCTTTTCCGCTGCTGGGCAAGTTGCCGGAAAATATTTCCAAAATATAACAAATATTTCTGCTAGTTTAATTATTTCAGTAAAAGAGTTAAAACATAATTAGATATTTAAGAACGGATTACTGAAAATATTTACGCATAAAATAAGAACTCTTTTATATGAAATAAAAGCAACTAATACGATTTAAAGATATCTTGTAGGCAAAAATTTTTTTTTAAGATAGGCACGTCAAATTCTTGGCCTTTAACTCATATTTATGCGATCCTCGTTCATCTCGCCCGAGAAAGTAAATATATATATATATATATATATGATTATATTATATTAATAAAAATTGGAATTTCATCGAATGTCGAAGCATGTGTACAATCTCTTGGTACTAGATTTTAACTAATGAAACACAAGTTTTCTAACGAATGAAAAGAAACAAGTCTCGGCGCGATTTAAGTTAACAGACTGCTTACCAGGGGCCAATCGGTAAAGTCGCTAAACACTGGTAATTCGGTCTGAGGTTCGAATTACGCGAATGGGCTGGCTGCATGGGCTTTTCTGGTTTTCTCCATGCGTAACGTACTTACGAGCCAGCTTCCTCTTAAAACGTCCTCCCCAAGGCCCCCTTCCCTTAGGGCAAATAGCCCTTCAGGCTTTGCCTTAATCACTTAAACCAACCATGTTAACAGACAAACATTCATCTGACATCTGTTCCGAAAATTTTCCTTCGAGCAGCAAATCTCCAGGTATCCGAAAGCTTCTTGCAGGAACAGGATTTCAGGTGCCGGGAAAGGAATAAGGATATCCATCTTTATGCTATTCCTATTTTTCAAAGAAATTTAATATTAAAATGGGAAGTAGGATTTTATGCAATAACTCAGTTTTCAAATCCATCATTATGTATAAAAATGGCGGCCCATAGTATTGTACACTGATGAGTATTTGGCCTATTTGGAGATACTTGAGTTAGATATGGCTGGTGTAAGATCTATTTAAACGGTTTGGTTTAGTTTATTATGGCAAAGCACACTAGGGCTATCTGCCTAAGGGGAGAGATGCCATCGTGAAGGACTTTCTAAGGAAACTGGTTCTCATACACGTTATATATGGGGTAAACCATGAAAACGTCCATTGCGCAGCCAGGTTGTCTGGGTTCGAATTCAGGTTGGAATTACCAGTGTTCAGCGATTTAACTACCCGGCAGGTGGTGCGCGCAGCTGTTTAAATAAGTGTTAGTCGTTATTCCGGTGTCTTCATATGAAGTAAGATAAATAACGGTCAAATAAAAAGCAACTTTGAAAGAATCAATTTGCTGTTTGTATCTTTCTATAAAAAAACTGGCACATGTTGTCCCTTAACGAAACAAATCCGAGAAATTTATTTTTCTGCTTAAAAAAATAATGCTTACTACTTACTAGTAAGTAAAGTTTCAGAGATTTCAGAAACTTTATCTTTTAGACTAATCTTGGCTTTTTTCCTTTTCGGCTCAAAATAATAAACCCGGAAAGGCATTTTGGTGGTAGTTATTGTGTCCACGTCCTGAATTTCGGTGACCGATTGCTTGAAATTTCTACCTACTCTGTTGCTGCTTGTTGTGGCTGTCGTTGTTGAAATGCTTCCGACAGTCGTCCTGAAATCTTTTGACGAAGACGTAATTGATAGAGGTGTCGTTCTGGCAGACATTTGATTTGGAATGACTTTCCATCGATTGTCAACCCGAGTTCTCACTGTCGTAGGTATTTTTATGCTTGGAATATCTGAAAAGAAAATGCATTTATGAAAGCGGAATAAGCCATACAATCGGTACCTATATATACAAAGTATCCTAAACAAATTATACCCAGGTCTAATTTTAGTACATTAATGCTCTTATTAGTGTATAAGTAACAAGTAGGTACTTTCGCGGTAGTGCAGTTTCACAGCAGAAGATACTAGAACTCATCTCCATTCATTTTTAAGCACAGATCAGTTCTTTTCATGTCTGCACCACTTTTTAATAACTTTGTGTATAGCGGTTTTGTTTCTAGCGTAACGTAAAATTTAGCTTGAAAATTTTTTTGATAAAATTTAAAGAAGGTATGCTTAGCATACGACCATTAACGAAAATGCTTTTATTATCAACACTATATTCATGTAATGTAACATCTTTACTAAATTCCAGTCACTTGGATGAGACGTACATTCATTAAAAATATTTCCTACTAGCGGAAGTACCCGATGCCAGTTAATTTAGATTGAGAGTAAGAGTTAAGTTTGATGTATCTGACAACAGAGAGAACGATACCGCTGTAATCTTTCTCTAATAACGATGCAAAAACTGCCCTTCATAGTTATACATTTTTCAGTCTGATGCGATATGGAAACCACATAAAAAATTTCCATAGAGAAGTCTCTCACTCATTATATCAGCAACAATGGCACGCAGTTTAATGAATCAAATGGTCGTAAAAGCTCAAGTTCCCCACAATATTTCACTTATATTCAATTTTAGTCGAACAAACAAATACACAGACATTTTTCTTTATATGTATAGATTTTGTAAAACTTAATAAATTTTTGATTAACAAATTCTACGATTTGAAAGCGAGCAGTAGCGACACTTTTTGAAATAAAACAATTTTATCTCCAACACGCCAGACTAGGAAAAGTGAGTGCGAAAATTAGCACTTTCAGAGTTTTTAATTAATGTTTCTGCTGATTAAAGTCGTACGAAGACGGGATTGTCGAAATGATATCCCAAGAATTTTTGGAATCGTTATCGTTTGAATGTACTATTTAATGTTTGGAAATTCTATTTTTATTTCATCGTAAAACTTAGAAAGTGTTTTATTAACAAATCTAGGATTTGAAAGCGAACAGCGGCAACGCTTTTCGAAATAAAGCAGAATTTCATCTCCAGTTTCCGATATTCTTGGCACTCGGAAAAATGAGGACGAAAATTATCGTTTTTCCGAGTTTTTAATTAATATCTTCGATTTTAGCTTTTTTTTTTTTTTTTTTTTTTTTTTTTTTTTGAGAAAAGTGGACTTTTGCTTTTTCCAGAACCCACAAAAGAATCGTAGTAAGTTTGATGACAATAGCCATAGTAGTGATCGAGTTATTTAGAGGACAACCAAACGCACGGGTAGAAAGTCCTCCACGAAGTCATCCCTCCCCTTAGACAGATAGCCCTCGTGTGCTTTGCCATAATTAATTAAATACACTAAAAAAATACAAACGCACGGACGTTTTTCTTTATACATATAGATAGTGCTATTACCTTAGCATCAACAAATATAAACAAAGTAAAGGAATTTCTCTAACAATAAAACGTTACTAATGTAAGATTAAATTCTAATTTTAATTTGCATTAAGTGCTAAAGTTTTATTTTGAATTTGCTTATTCTCTCTCCGTATCGCAGAACTAGTAGTAGTTTGTTTATAATAAATCTTTCTGAAGCATGCTGTCTCAAAATTAATTCTTACGCGTAACTTCTTATATAGCATAAATGATGCATTTATTTATGTAAATGCAAAAGTAAAATCAAAATCTTTTAGCTGATCATAATTTGAAGGAAACTTACTAGACGGCTAGTAACAAAGCGATACTATGTAATTCTACTGACAAACGTAGCAACCATTTTTAATCAGTAACGTAATTTTCTCTCTTCTGCTGATTGCCTTTGGGATACCAATCTGTGCTGAGAAGCAAGCTGCTGCTTCTTTGTTTGCAACTGCATTAGTGCGAATATATGAAACGGTCATTAGTAAGTATTGAACAATAGTCGCGTCTCTTGTATTATTTCAGCTATTAAGTGTTTACTTCAAATATGCAATATTCACATAATTGTAATTAATGCTAGAAGAGACGTGGCGGAAAACAATAGCACAAAGAAATTTGAACAGCCTGCAAAGACTAAATTTACACTAAATTAAAAGTAACGATGTTATGGTTTCTCTTTGTTTCTATTTTTTAGCTGAAGGTTTTCAATACTGTTGAATAAAAGATTTCAGTTGCAATTTTACCGTTATGTAAATGTCATTAGTATTATATAAGAAACATACGGCCAGAGATTAATTTGGAAGTGAGGCACTTGAGAAAGATGTATTACTACTTTCAGTATAGAAAGAGAAAATGACTAAACTAAAAAGGAGACTAAAATTTTACCTGGCATATTCATAATCTTACATAGGTACCTACATACGGATATAAGGGTAAATATTTCATAGCATTTTACCTGACATACTTTATATATACATACATATGTAAGCTAAAAATGTATGTATGCTGAAATGCTAATTTTAATTTGCAAGGGCCCCTCGACTGTTCATTTTTAACGTGATTATTCGTCCTTTCCATCTTAAAAATAGTATCTACTTAAAATCATCGTTCTAAACTACATCTCTTCAATTTCATGCATTTTACATGATTCTTGCATACTGCTAATGATGCACATTTTACATAACTTTTCAGCCAGTAATAATTTAAAATTTTGCGAATTAAAATTTGCAATATAGATGGAGCAAAATACTAACTCTGACCTGTATTTTCATATTATACATATAGCATTCGCTCTCTAATTCTCTGCCTTACCACTCTCCTGTCACGGCTTTTCTGTTTAATTCATAATATTGTTACTTTTTTTTCTGACACCATTTGTTACGTTATTTCCTTCGTACGGGGTTCGTAGATTTGGAGTGAATAACGACGACACTTGATGAAGTATCGAAACACACTTTATTTAGCCAATATTAATCAGGACAGCTCAAAAATCACGTTACAGTCGTCGAAGAACTACTATAAACACGCTGGAACAGTCAGCGACACAGCCTTCAGGTTATCAGGCTATCACGGTGAAGATAGCTTCACTGCAAAGCACCAGAGTACAGCTCCCGACTCTATTTGGTCGTACTCGGAACTCTACGTACTCTCGAGACTCTCCACGCTACAACTCGTGATGCACTCGACGACAGACAGAGCACAGCTCCCGACTCTTCGGTTCAGTCGTTCCCGGAGCTCAACACTCTCTCTCGACGATGCACTAACCGCGATACACTAAGAGACTCCTTCGGTGCACTCGACGACCCACTCGGCACTCGCTGACCGGCTGTCAACTCTATCGTTTCTACACGGACTAACTAGATGAGACACACACCCTTACTGCGGGCCAGCAGGATTTATATAGCTTTCGTCTTGTGTTGGAGCACATTCTGAGTTAAACGGGTAAGAATTAGTTTCAGAAGGTTCTCCATCCGTCCTTGGAATACCTGCAATTTTGATGCCAAATATCGCCCAATAGGCGATTTCTCGCCAAATGTGGCAACCCTGCCCCTCCTTTGCCATTTTATGACAACCCTAAAACTGCTTTGCGGGGAAGCTATCTTACCGCGCCTGGACATTTCGTAACAATAACAAAATTCATTAAAGAATGGGGACCGTTCTTTTTGTGTGGATTTATCTGCATTTCGTCAACAACTCTAATACCTAAACTAAGAGAATTGTTGAACTGGACAGGACTGCAAGTATCTACTTACTTACGGGTCAGCTTTCATCGCGATGCATCTGCGTCTTTTCAAAAATTACTATGTTTCGAAAATTGTATGTTTAGTCTGCTTCAAAACGTTCTCCACCGGCACTGATATACTTTTGCCATTGTTTATCCAGTACTGGAAACATGGAAATGGTTCTGGAACCCTTTACAGGGAATATTATTCAAGAAAAGCAACGTATTTTCTTACACATCATCCATATAATTGAACTTTTGTCCAACTTTCATCGGTGAATTAAAATTTTATTATTTTCTGAGATTTGTTTGTTCATGGAAAATGAAAAGACACAAGAATACATGTACCATGTACCTTGTATTATAATACCTTTGTTTGCAAGTCTGTTCGCCTCAGAAAGTTCTCCTCCTTAAGTAGGTAATCTTAATCTGCGCCTTTATTTTAATTAATTCATGAATCAACCTTTAAGCAACATTTTCTCGTATTTACGTTCAGATCCCATATTAAATACCTTTTCGCAGGATTTGAACCCAATAGGATATACCAGTATTTAGAGATATAAATCCCCCGTCTGCCTATGTTAAATATCCATCCACTCTGACAGAAGGTGCATTAAAATATCTTTAAAGTAGTTCAAATATGAGTTTTAATTCCACATCAGAAGGATACATGAATATAAAGATCTTCTCCCATGTATTAATAGTAATTAGATGTTTTATAATGCAAGCAGTTCGGCGAGTTATTAGAAAACGTGGTCTCTCTTTACTCCAATGTGACCTTTCATTTCTATCAAGAATTCGATTCAGGTAACATGAGGTACCCCCAGAAAATACGACAGCTATGTGCAGCTTGCTGATCGAAGTTTTGAAATGTGACAACAGAGAGTCTAGGCATTATTTGTTAAATTACGACAGAATAATGAAAGCGCACAAAGTTAAAATTAATGCTGACAAATTTTCCTGGGGATAGAACAGTTGATAATACAGCTCTTAGCAGAGAAAGTTTCAGTTGTGTGTTAAAATTTTGAGAATACTTAAAAATTATAAGTATCCGTACTAACTGGAATCTCAGTTCCTCCAAAATATATCCGAATAACTGCACTGACAAAAGTATCTAGACTAACTTGGGTGCACGTTTTTCTAACACGATTCATCCAATATAAGGTTAAGTTTGAATTAATTTAAGAATACAGACCATCCAGATATTTTCAGATACGGATATATGGGTTGAAAACTGGATTCAAAATGTTCACTGGTGTGCAAATATTAAGGAC